GTGGTTAAAGTCGTTTTTAGATAATTATTTATTATTAATTCAATAGTGCTCTAATACTCTCGCACTTCGTATCTGAATTTTACTGTGACAATATCCGTATGGTGCATAACGGAAATGTAATGTAACAGATCCTAAGTTATTAACAGACATTAATGTACGTAGTAAGATTTTCGAAAGCTATATAGTAGAACATTGTTCAGGGGTGCGGGCTAACGTAGCGTGTGAGTGAGTTAGCAAAGATTCAAACTGGAGTCTTCGATCGCAAAACTTCGTATTTCATTCTTCGCTATTTTAATTTTTAAACATTCTCCTTATCGCTTTTCGAAGTACAAACCCTCAAGAATTTCACCGCGTACAGTATGCAAAAATCTTAAAAATCTCACTATCAACAATACAACAATTTGACTGTAAAAGTCTTCTACTGTAAGAGTATTGGAGCATAACGTTGTTAATCTTGTGCAAATTATTATTAATTATTTTGATTAAGTTTAGATGACAGGTAAACCATCTACTATCTTACTCTTGCAATCGTGATATCAACGATCCATCTTTAAGAATAATACATTATTCTTTTCGCAAAATTTTTCTACAAAATTAAGGTGTTTACATGAGACTATGGACGGGAGTCATCGATTTATCAATACTCTGTTACTTAACCCTTTGGCTACCGACGTAAGAGAAGGAAGAAACGATTTTCCAGTAAAATTATCCATTTTTTATGGAGCGATTCTATAGTGTGCCTTGATAAAATGGTGGTTTGGGAAGTGCATGGTACCTAGCGTTTGTTTTTATGGAAATACTTCTAAAAACATATATTATGAATGATCACTTATTTCATACAAAGATGAGGCTCCTGACGTTTATAAACGGCGGCGGTAGCCAAAGGGTTAAGGACACCCCTCCCTCAGAAATTATCTCCGACACCGTACAGCCGATCTTGACGAAACTTTTTATAAATGTTAGGCACGATGAGTTACGGGAATGAAAAATTTTTTTGTCTCCAAGTCTTACCGTTCAGGAGTTTTCCAGAGATCAAGGTCCAAAAAGGACCCTGAACGGCGTCCCAAGAGTTTTTAATATACTTCAAGTTGGAGAGTTCGAGTTTGTTTTATTTTAAACTAGACACTTAACTACATGGACTGACAGGCGCCGATTTTTCAATTCAGCCTTTATTGATTTTCCAGGCAACCAACAACCTCCAAAACCCGAAAAAGCATTCCGGATTTTCTAAAACTCCTCAGTTTGACAAAAAACTAAGACCTAATTCAAAAATCAATGCCGGTAAGTCCGGTAAGAAATACTTCAGGTGTAACTCTTATACAGAGAAAACGCTGTATGAAATACTCGATTTTAGGACATCTAGGAAAATGCCTGTAACTTTTTGATGAAAGATCATACAGAGTTGTGCGAGGTCTTATTTTGATCAGAAACGTTTGCTCTACAAAACTGTGTGTTCAGAAAAATTTTGATTGCATAAGTATCTAGGAAAAAACTATTGTTTGAGGACCCCGTTTTTCGAGGCTCTTAGAAAACTTGCTCAGAATCCCCGAAAAACCAGTTTTGTAACCAAAAACAATACAGATTCTGGAAGTAGACACTTCAGACCATCTTTTCATGTGCATATCTTAAAACCGATTTTTTGACCGATAATCATCATTTCTGAGGAGGGGGGGGGGGCCTTAAATCAGAATGCTTGCATCTAAACTTTAGGGTGTTTTTTTCTGTAAAGATATCATTTTAGAAAATGATATGACGTTGTGCAGTGCATGTGCATTTGAGCTGCATAAAGCAGCTCTGTAAATTAGATAAAAGTAGGAATAAAGCAGTGTCATGCTAATTGGTCGTGAAACGTAAACATTACTATGTGCAACAAAAAAATACAAAACTTACGACCGAACTTAAGTAAAATTACCTAACTACAAAAGAAAAGAATTATTCAATGTTCAAGCATATGAGTAATAGTAATACACCTACTTCTTTGAATTTACTGTACAAATCTTTTGCTTTAGTTTCCACATCATTGCCCATAGCCAATGTTTGTAGAATAATACCAATCTATAATGAAAAATGGATTTTTTTTAAAAATTCACAGATTAAAATTATTTGTTTTTATTAACTTACTTGATTCAAATTATGTCTAGCCACTGGACTAATAGGAATATCAGCAATAATGCCATGTTTTTCCGGTTCACATATAGCCGGTGCAATAAATAGTGTTACAATGATATCATAGCAAAAACTTCGAATTTCTTTCAATGATATATTGTCTGTTAGAGATAAAATTGTATAAATTTTTGATATAATACACAACAGAGAAACGGGAAAATAAAATATAGAATTTTTTATTGAATCGATGAATGTTGATGTGAATGTATAAAGTTTATGAACAATTAAATCACGATATTTTTGAATTTTTTCCATATAATCACGAGTATTTGGTTGACCAAATCTAAATAAAGAAGAAACAATAGATCAATAATTTATTATAAATTTAATTTTTAGAAAATATACCGTTTTAGACATTCTTGTTTTGAAAAACGACTCATCGATGTATCAGGATTAATATCATAATACCAATCATCCTATTACAATGGAACAAAAACATTTATATTGAATAGACTGAGAAAATAAAAAACGTATATGAGACACTTACTTGCATAACAAGTTGCATAATTGGATCATGTAAGGCAGCTGTTAAAAATATTTTTGATGATTGTAATGATGTTAAAAATGAATCAAAAACTAATTTAAATGTCGATGAACTTCGTTGTAAAATTATTCTTGGATTATTTTCATTTTCTAATTGTATACCACAAAGAGATTTTAAAATACACAATACTGAATATTCATCTTGTAAATACAAACATTGACCATACAATGAACACATCAAAATAGGAACAATTTGATTCATTAACGAAGAATCTAAAATATGAAGAATTGGTGAAAGTACTATATATATACACAATTCTGTACAAAATTATAGAAATGATTTGATTTTAACGTTTCTTGTTCGTTTATAATAACAACTAAAAATAAATTCCAAAAAGTAATTTTGATAGCTAAAAGAGTTTTTAATTAGAAGCGATGTGTTTTATCAATAGTACATCTCTATGATAGCCAAGTCTTTGGATTCAGTCGGAAACGTTTTTGTACACATACAGAAAAAATTGTTCATTATGACCGACGTCGAATTTGTATGATCGTCGTATACGGTGACATATTACGTCTACATGTATACGACGATTTACAATCAAATAAGATCGTTTGCGACCTTAAACCAATCGTAAGTGGACGTGTACGACGATCATTTTTATTGTCCTAAACGTTTCTGATTGAATCCAGAGACTTGGAGAGATCTACTATTGATAAAACACATCGCTTCTAATTAAAAACTCTTTTAACTATCAAATTTACTTTTTGAATTTGTTCTGATTGTTGCTATGAGCGAAAAACATTAAAAAAACTGTGTTTCTCTAATTTTACATAGGACTCTGATGCCTTATGTTTTTACCGATTCGCTCGATTTTCGTTAGACATACGGCTAATAGATGAGGTGATTGACGAAGATAATTCAAAAATTTAACATAGGAATCACTGTGGTTGTAATGAAAATATCTGTATGAATCGATAAATTTTGATTGTTCTAATAGTTGTAAACGTTGACAACACGTTTGAGGATGAATTTGGATGTCGAAGATGCGATTTGCATAGATTAACGATGTTAAAACAAACCGCTGTTGTTGAGCAAGCCATGTCGTTTGAGATAATCGTTCAGCTAATTTTAAAATCTAAACACACAAAAAAGACAAAATAAAACAAAAAATTCGAGTAAAAATGAGCCAGAAGTTTAGCATATACCTGACTAAATAATTGGAGCAACTGTTTCTTTTCGACTTTGACAAATGAACTTTCGCATTTTAGTTTTCTAACTAATTCAAGGATTTCGTCGGATGAAGACATTTCGAGATCATTTGTATCGGAGAAAAGATCTGAAAAATTCAAACGTAAACTTGGATTACAACTAACGTTCTGACTACGGGAAAAAGTTCGTACCAGAGAAAAAATGCTGATAATGGAGAGTAAAGTGCTACCCTACCAAAAATAATTTCAGTATTGTATTCGAAAAAAAAGATCCGCACTGTGAGTGCCATGTTACATTGGCACTGAGGCACACCGATAGCAGTACGAACGTACAAATCGCGTACCGATACTCAGAAAAAAACTTATTCGGCATCGGTGCACAACCAGTGCCGACAAAATATGTTTTTTTGCAGGATAGGGATACTATTTTTCGCATAGAAAAATGCACAATGCAGTGTGTAAAAAGCACTGTATTCGTTATAGCCAGGATTCTCCAGAATAGAAAGCTAAAAAAATACACTACATTAGAAGTGGAATATGGTTCCTTCAGAATTAGGTGTGCATCGGTAGCGGTATCAATACTGAAATACCGATACCGAAAATGTCGACTTTTTTCGATTTTTTCATTTGAAATGAGATATTTCAGGGTCATGGACAGTCAGAACACAAAAACACTCAGTTGTGTATTCTGAGCATGCGCAGATAGAAAATAAAGCAAAACTTTGGCTTTAGAAAGCAAACAAAGCTCTTGTTGTGTGTCTCTGGCGATCCTATCACAAAAAAACTTAAGTTTGACTTAAGTCAGAACTTAAATCTTCATTATGTGCACTTACATGCTAATTTTATACACTTATGTCTAGACTTTGGCTTAAGTTTTTTCGTGATCCGACCCTCTGATTCTTTCTGGGTGTCCAGGACGCTAAACTATCTCATTTCAAATGAAAAATTCCAAAAAAGTCGGTATGTTCGGTATTCGTATACCGGTGAGTACCTATTCAGTATCTATTGACGAACATAGGTCTTTTAAAATGTTGAAATGAAGAAGACTAGATAAAATTTTGAGAAAAACAAACAGTGACATATTCCAGTATTGTTACCCCGTTTCGTAATTATAGTTCGAGTGCGGCTAAGCTTTTAGTAAAACTGACCTTTTAAAAGCGCTCCACATTGAAGAAATTCATAACTTTGTTCGAGGCACTTCGTTATCAATACTGACTCTGATCAATATGGTTCCTGCAGACTTTATGCTTGTTAAATTATGTAGATGATCCCTTTCTGCGGCTGGAAATTTAGATGAGCTATAGTTAACTAGATATTGCCTCAGTAAACAAGTATAACTCACAGTGAGACACGAGGTCGTATCACAAAAAAACTTAAGTCTGACTTAAGTCAAAATTTGGACTTAAGCCTTTGGACTTAAGTTTTACTGTATTACAAAAACACTTAAGTCATGGGAAGTGTAGACTTAAAGTTAAAACCCAAAACTTAAGTCGGACTTAAGTCATTGTTGCATTTTTGGAATTGCTCAGGCATTGAAAGATACGATTCGACGAAAACGACATTCTGAGGATTAGAGAATAAATATTTCGTTATTTTTGCGGGTTTTTGTCGCAAGTTTGTCACTGTTGTCAACGACTTTTAAAAAGTTAAAAATTTAAGTCTTTTCGTGATACGGTTTAAGTCCCCAGACTTAAGTCGGTCTTAAACTTAGACTTAAGTTTTTCGTGATACGACGCCCAGGGGTAGATCTCTCTAGATCTTTTTTTTAAAAGATATTACGGGATTACTAATAAAATTCTGAAACAAAACGTACATATACACTTTATGATCGAGCTTAGAATCTATGTGATCACTTTAGATTTCAATGCAAAGCGAACAAAATACACAAAAAACATCGCAGAGAAAGAGGTAAAAAAGTCTAGATTAATTAGAATAAACACACTCTCATATGATAATGTTGATAGATAGATATAGTTGTACGCGTTCTGTAATTTTTTATTGGAGGCTTAATCAAACAAATTGAAATGAAAAATAAACTCTTCATGAAGACGGTTAACTTTTACTCAGTACATGAGGCTTACATTATAAACGCTATTAAAAACTTTCCAGCAAGAAATGATTCTATCGGGCGACAGCGTCAATTACTTTTAAAAGTATAAATTAATGTTACTATAATAATTACTATCAGAGGGTTGTTTCAATCCAGATTCTTCCATTTATATACGACCGCAAGCCGGCAACATCTGACTATGCGGCGGATAATTCAATTGAAATGTTTCTGGTTTCAAACCAGAACTCCAGCTTTCTTGATTTTCATTATTGTTTACTAGACAAACATAGATATCTTCCCCCTAGAAACACATAAGTGAGGAAAAATGGTATGTAGAAACAACAAAAGTGCAGATGCAATACGTCATCGTATACGACGGTCGTTTTCATTGTCCTAGGCATTTACTACACTGTAAAATTTGATATTAAAAAAGTGGATGACCAGTCAACCAGTAGAACAAGTTTTCAGCTACTAAAGTAGGCGATGGTTGTTAAATAAATCCAGTTTTTTGGATGTGCAATATGAAAAAGTGGATGGGATGATCTCAATCACCCACTTTTCCGATGTCAACTTTTACAGTGCAGGTGTAACAGTTTGACTATTGGATAAACAACCCAATCGGATGTATTGAATTTTTTCCCGGTAATCTTCATTCATCCATAACAATACTGTGTTCGACCTATTAATGGTTTAGCTGGACTAAATTGTATTTGATGGGGTCCTGCGTTATAATGCATCGCTACTATATCGTTGTTCGCCCAAATTTTAGCCAAAACTTAGCCTTCTTAGAATCACAGAATATTAGTTTCTATTTCACGAGTTCATTTATACCTTCATCGTTTTCCTCCTATTTTCTCCTGAGTCTACTTAGTTACTACTTCTCATTTCTTATGTTAACAAGAGACTCGCGCCATCTGGTTTCGTCGTCAATAAACGTTTTAATCAGACTATATCACAAATGTTCCTCATAAGAATATGACATAAAATCTTTCTTTATACATATCGTCGGAACAAAAAAAATTAAGTTGGTTTTGAGTTGCTGGAAAGTGCTTAACCATGTACTAAAAATTGCATAAAAAGCGGGAATTAATCGTGAAAAATCATACGATTAAGCGCACCGCTTAATCGCGATTAATTGCTGATTTTTTGGTGATTTTTAGGCGATTTTAGCTATTAATCGCAATTAATTGACGATTTTTTTCTAGGTACTAGGTTCGAACCCATCTTAGGAAATACATATTTTTTTCTGTTTTTTCATTGTTTATTACGTATAAGGACATGTGCGTCACACAGCCGTGGTCTTAGCACCAGATTTTCGTGATTAATCACGATGGTTGACAAAGTCATCGATTAATCGCGATGCACGAAAAAATTATCATTTAATCGCGATTAAATGACCATTTTTTCCCCGAGTCGCGATTGAGCGTCGATTTTTTCAAGCATCGCAATTAATCGACAAATATGAAGCGATTTTCAGCACATGGGTATTTTTGGCGAGGGGTACTTCCAAAAGTTTAGGAAAAATTTTCAAACAAAATGGCGCAAAATAATTTCCATGGAAAAATAATATTAATTTTAAAATTTTTCCTTAACTTTTGGAAGTACCCCTCACCAAAAACAGAAAATCTTCTGGAATATCGATTGTGCTGAATACGAAGAAGTACTTCCCATGTCATCAGAATCGGGAAGAAATGGCAGGTTAAGCGCAATTAATCAGTAGATTAATCATGCGCTTAATCGCGATTTTTAAGCAGAATGTTTTCTGATTCATCGCGATTTTGAAAAACAAATCGTCGATAACTTGCGATTAAGCTTGATTTTTGCTGAAATCGTGCGTTTGATAGAATAATGGACGATCACTTACGATTTCAGCAAAAATTGACCTCAATCGAAACTTATCGACGATTTTTTCTCAAAAAATCGCGATGAATCAGAAAACATTCTGCTTAAAAATCGCGATTAAGCGTACAATTAATCTGCTGATTAATTGCGCTTAACCTGCCATTTCTTCCCGATTTTGATGACATGGGAAGTGCTTTTTCGTATTCAGCACAATCGATAACCAGAAGATTTTCTGTTTTTGGTGAGGGGTACTTCTAAAAGTTAAGGAAAAATTTTTTAAAATAAAGCGCAACGCGTCCAACATTAATTTATCTGCACTTGAACAAGCATTTAAACCAAAAGAGCGTCGCAGCGTTTTCTGAATAAAGGACCTTTGACCTAAAACAGTTAAGACTTAGATGTGTTTTTGAATACCACTTGTCTATCATCTTCCTTTCCTCCACATATAATTGATAGAAACAAGTCTAGACCGAAAGTCCAATAGGCACGTGTCTTAACCGTTTTTATATTATATTCCAATCGAGTTTCCAGCAACTCACAACCAACTTTATTTTTTTTCCGGTGATATGGTCTATTTTTGAAAGCAAAGTTTAACACAAAATATAAATCAAAATCGTAAGTGTTTACACATTTTGCTTCTGCCCTTAGAACCACTGATGATGTGCAGAAACAATATTGTTATTGAAAAATGTCGTTGAAAAATATTGGAGTTTAAGACTCCCTCCCCTTCGGGTCAGAAATCTATTTGGATAACCACAAGTCTGATCTTAGCGAGAATTTTGTGTAAGATTGGACATGTTAAAGAATAGTTACCGCATAAGCACGGTGGCTCCATCTGACATCGTTTATGAGATGTCGTTAGACTATGGGTTAAAATGAGGTATCTACCGTCCGGCACATTTCTGCTGTCAGAAAACAGCTGGAGAGCTCGGCCTAAATGTAAAATATAAACTGAAGTGAGAGTAATGACTTAAAAGAGCCTAATGACGACCTAAATAAAAAATCGGATTGTTTTACGTTGTTGCCATATGTCTTAGCTTCAATTTAAGATCAACCCGAGCGCTCTAGAGCTTAATTTGACAGAGAAATCTTTCTGACAATGTTTATCACGTAGGAAAAACATTGAATCATAATTCTGAGGACATAAAATTAAGTGTATTCGAAACATGACACTTTGAACTATCATATAATGCACGTTACTTATAATCGATATTTTTGACGAAAATCGTCATTTCTCACAAGAGATGTCTTCACCATATGAGTCAATACTTTTAGCAACAAGAGGACTAGCCTAATGTATTGTGAAACTAGTTACAATCATACAATGTTTATTTCAATACACATAATAAGCATTATAAATCAAAAAACCGACAAACTCTTTTGTCTTATCAGCAAACAGAATAACAGGATATCGAGAAAAACTGTTTTTCTAGAAGCAAAAAAGCGCGTTTAAATAACGCTAAACATAGTTCTTGTCTTTTACCTACATACTAGAAACATGACACAAAAAGAATGCAAGAAAGAAAACAACAAGTCACACGAGCGCAGAGAATATGGTTGAATTGAACTAGACTTGAAATGAAACAAGTGGTTTTTTTGACAGAAAAAAACAAAAATATCTGCAATCGCATGAAAAACAAAACAAAGAAATTTTATGTGCATAATAATAATAATAATAATGATAGGTGATGTTGTTTGTTAATAGAAAAAATATCAGTTGTTACTGAACCTAAACGGAGCAGAACATGGAAAGTGATTGCTGAAGCTATGGGGATAAATAGAAGAAACGATATACTTACACCACCTCCATTATAAATGGGAACATTTTGTATTTGTGATGTTTGAAGCGGTAGTGGATTGGGTGAAATACCAGTAAAAATGGTCTTTGGTTCACAAAACTGACCAATGGTATTTGATATTGAAACGGCTCGTACAGCAAATGCATAATGGCTATTCGATTGAAATTCTTTTAGCGTTACAGCCATTGGTAAACGCATACTTCGAACACTTCCAATCTAAATTGAAAAGATATGTGTATAGTGAAATTTGATCCAAATTATGTCATTCTTTGACGACGCACTTGTTTCCAATCGCTAACTGTTGAATTGGCATTGTATTTATAAGCGAATATTTGATATTCACGGATTGATTCTTGAGATGTATTTTGTAAATTCCAATGTAGACGAACAGCTAAGAATGAGAAGAAATTTCATGACTAAAAACTACATTATCAGTGGTGTGACCAGTCAGTCGTACTTGAATTTTCATGTGCAATTGTTAATTTTGGACGACCAATTAATGTATCAAGAGGTTGATGTTCAGGTAATGGACGGATTGGAAAATTCATCTAAAAGAAATATAATATATTGAGAGTAAACCAAATAGACGTTAAGTTAGACTTTATACCTGACCAGTTTGTATTATATTTGCACGAAAAGTACGATTACCACTATCTAGAGAAAAAAATAGTTTCTATTTAATTAGACGAAACAATATAACAGAACAGAAGTGAGAGTAATTCTGTGAGACTTCACCATCCGAAGCGAGGATTCTCGGAATGGGTGATTTCATGCGGAAGAGTGAACAGGCGAACAACTTTGTCAAATGAGGCGCACTGTTTTCTTTATTTGTAGCCGCTTATTTAGTCATTATGTTCCTTTATTCGTGTATGACTAAATTTTTTTGAAAAGATTCTTTCTGAAAATGTAGATGTTTAGTAACAATCTCAAGAGATTTTTATTAATTGTTCTTTCTGTATTTTTATTCTCTTAATAAGTTCACTCGCTCTGCTCTTGCAAGTAAATTACATAAGTGATAGAAGACATCGAAGAATACTTCAGAGTTTGAAAAATGTTTTAATACAACATAAAACTCACGTGTCCGATTTGGTGGTGGAGGTACAGCAACAGCCTAGAAAGAAGAAACATGGATTATTATTACATAAACTTTTAATCAGAGTGGAAAGGAAACAATATTCGTTCAAAAAAGCTCTAACATATGCCTATTAGTCTAAGTTAATCTGTATTCATTAACTACGTGTCTGCGTTATCACGCAAATACCAGTACAAATGCAGAAGTTAATGTTCAACTAGTTCACAAAACGTAGTTAATTGAGATACTTGCTTGTGGTACATGGGGTCTAATTGCCGTTTGGGGCAACAGTGATGGACGATCATCATCATCATTTGTTAAATCAATTTCTGTCACTTGTGAATGTTGTAATTGTACTGGAATGGATGTCAAATTTGGATGTAAATGTTGTGAGGGTACCGTTTGTGCTGGCGATACAGAGGATGCAGATGATAATGTACTACTCTGCGTGGAAAGAGGTGTCGAATGATGTGGTAGAATGGGCTGTATAAATGTTGTTGGTCGTTGATGAAGAGTAGCGGAAAGAATTGGAGATGCTGAAAAAATTGACGTTGGTATTGTGGTGATACTAAATGGACTATACGGATTATGTGAACGAATTGCTGTTTGCAACGTATGTTGTTGCAGTTGAGGTGGGATCAAAGGATTAGATGAAGATGATGTGACAACAGTGGGAGAGATGATGGTCTAAACAAAAAAAGAGAGTTCTGTGATATTGAAGTTTAAAGATTGACTGCAAATACCACAGTAGTTAGATTACGGCATATTTACTCATCAATTGATCCTTATTGTTGGCTGCCACGTTACTATACAAAAAACTGCTATCAGCACTTGCTGAGCAAGGGTGCACACAGACCAGTGTCAGTAATTCATAGTACTCTATGCGCACACTCTCTTTTTTTGGAGAGCTACTCATCCTTTTTAATTTTCGAATAGAAGAGTTACTGACTTGAGAAATTTGTCTTGGTTGTATGGGCTGTTGTTGTTGTTGTTGTTGTTGTTGTGGTTGCTCAGTCTGACTTCCCGTCTCTTTTACATCGATTATAGTTGTCTGTTGTGATCGATGTTCTTTTGCTTGTTGTTTTTGAAGTACTGTTTGTTGAAATTCTTTTTGTTGGTCTCTCAGAAATTTAATTAGTTTATCATTCATTGATAATGTTTGTTGTTGATTTTGACGTTGAGCGTAGAGAGCTTGTTCAAATAAGTGAAAATCATCATCTGACGATTGACGATGTGAAGAAGAATGACACTGACATGTACAAGAAGATGAATGACGATTAGACGTTTTTGGTCCGTTTGTAATACCATCTCGAACTAAAAAGAAGAAAAACGAGATTAACTTAGTTTTTACGAGAAATATGGAAAGAAACGTAGCAAATAGCTTCATTTATTCATGCACAGATTCATTATTACAATTTAAATACTTCAACTTTTTTTATTATTACTTACCTAAAATGACATTGTGATGATTAGGCCGATGTAGTGTTGCTGGCGTTATTGCTATTTCAACGATATCATCATCGATAACAGTAATTGATTGGCAAATGGAAGGAAGTGGAATTGGTGTACTACTGACTTCTACAACAGAATGATCTTGAGATGCTAATGACACCGCCGTATCACATTCCATTGGGCAAACATCATCTTGCTGCTGTTGTTGTTGTTGTTCAACATATGGAGAGAACACTATTTGAGAAAGTGAGTCATAACCGTTGTTATTTGAGGACGTTTGTTGTTCTGATGTATGGTCACTACTTGGAGTGACAACTGTTTTCTCTTGGTCCATTTGATCAACTTCTGTTTCGTCAACAATAGATAGTGTTCCTAAAATATGAAAATTCGGTATTAAGCTGATACAGAGCTCACAAAAGACGAAAGTATTCCGAAGTGGCTCGCCGCCATCATTAATTTTGCTTCAATGTTCAAAATTTGCAGTGGCTATGAGTACAACCAGCATTCTAAAGCGCTGCTATCTACTTTCTACACGAAATTCTAATACAAAAATAACCGTGATTTTTATTTCTAAGGAAAAAAATACATTTTTCTAGTGAGATATACCATTTCACTATGTTCTTCTATGAACAAACAATGAAATATTTAGGATACGTACTAAAAATGGAATAAACCTGTACAAAAGTATACGTTAATTAATAAGTTATCTTTTATTTTGTCAGCAATCCTGCTAAGCTGTTTCACATACTTTTTCATAACGTCATGATTACTCAGTTCTAGTAGTATACGCTTACTTTTATGTCCACTTTGTTGTTGTTGTTCATTTTGACTTTCATATTCCGTTCTGTCAGATTGCACTCGATCAATAGCATTTTGACATTCATTTTCTGTTTCAACATTGTGTGAATGTTGGTGTTCTTCTCTAATTTCTCTCTTTGAACGTTTCTCATCATTTAAATAAACATGATCCATTATTGACGCGACGGTTGTTCGAATATCAGCTGAATCTGTTGAATAAGTACGATGATAATCTAATAACAAATTACTGTTAGGTGTTGATGTGCTCTAGAATAAACAAAACAATTGTTCATCGCTTTAAAAATAGACAAAAGACTCCTAAGATTTGCTGTTAATCACACTTTTGTTAAACGGTATAATAAAAAAACGATTTCAATGCTTAAAGGAACTGTTAAACTAGATGCTCTATAAATATATGCATAACAACAATGGCACCTCGATTTTGACTACTTTTGATTCGTAATAGGTGTACTTTAGGTACTTTTATACCATGCAAATTAACGTGTCATAGAACAAGTCATAATCCCATGTAAGCCATCCTTCTTAACGTTTTTGTCAATTTTTCACACTCAAACTGTCATACTTTATAGCGTCGATGACTCTTGGCCCAAAATTGTATAACAAAGAGACTGTTACATACCAGTCGTGGAGATGTTATTGTTGATTGTACACTATTCACATTGTCACGTTCGTCTTGCTCAATTTGTAGTTCTGTTTGTGCTTTCAAATTTTCCATAATATCATGAAAGACATCGGAACTGTCAAATAAACTATTTATATCTTTTTGTTGTGAAACATGTTTGGAAGAAAATTCTGTTGTTAAACGTGGAGGTTCAACAGTTTTTGTCAAACCAAATAGTCCATTCGTTGAATCTTCGACTTCTTCAGTTTCATTATCTGGAATAATAATCATGGTTTTTATTTGTTGCTCATTCATATCGACGTGTTCATTTTTTATTTCTGGCATTATTGATAACGATGATTCTAATGTGTCAAATATTGATGATGGGCCTTCATTTGACATAGATACTTCAGAATTAGAATTAGAATTAAAAAGAGATGATTGTATTCTATCTTCATGGTATTGATCATGAGATAAATGATGATGATTATTTAACGGTGAAGATGAGACTGAGCCATTATGTAGATAGATAGAAGATTTAATTGTGGTTGTTGGAGTTGTTTCAATTTGAATGACATTTTCACAATGGGTTAATGGTGGAGGATGAGTGGATGATGCTTTCACTTGTAATAAGCGTGTTACAGTACTTTTACGAGCGGTATGACGACGAGTATCAGCTAATACATCCATGGACATTTTTTAAGATAACCAGGATCTAAAATTATATAAAGGTTTCATTTGTACAAGTGTCTTCGAAACGGTAAGAATGAATAGAATAGTCGTTGTCCGGTTCTGTAAATCAAGATTATCTTCAACTAATTAGCTAGCATGTACAGCAAAGATTATTTTTGTTGTTCTAAAAACGTTTACGATTTCACTCATGAACAACACGTAGGTAGCGAGCTTGTATAAAAAAAAAGGACACGGATGTTCACAAGAAATTAAATTTTTTCGTGAAAGAATTAATAATTAACTTAAAGTCAAATTATGCGTGTGATATACCTCTACAACTTGTGTTTAGAAAAAAAATGCAAATCAAAAAATGAATCTAAGAAATACTCTCGTATGCTGAAAGAAATATTGAACAATTTGCTTGTTAAATCAAACAGTTACTATCTCTTTTTCTACATAAGTATTCTTTATAAAAGGAAATTAAGTAAGAAAAGCATAAACAAACAATTATATTTCGAATTAACTTTCATAGGGAAAAAGTGCGCCCCAAAAAAATAACGATTAATAGTTGTCAAATAATAACGGTGCATTAGTTTACACGAAGAACAATAAAATAACATTCAAGATTAATAATGAGCAAAATAAATGAAAAAAAAAATAACAATAAAGCATTTCTATTTATCTGGCATTACTGGCGTTTCAATACCAAAGGCTTCAACTAACGCCTGAAACGAAAAGATCCTATCATACTGATTATAATAGATACATGAGTAACTAAACTAACTTCCCACTCTTCCATATCGATTGATATAACTAACTGTTGACATTTTTTCGATAAAGATGTTGTTGTCGTTGTTTCATTGTGTTCAATGTTAATCGTTTCGTCTGCTTTCTTCTTTCGTCTGTCAACAGGCACTTAAAGTAAACAAAACACATATCGTGCGAACAAAAACATAAAAAATCTGTCAATAATGAAAATTGCCATTATAAAGCAGCTATGATAAAGTTACTCTTTGGTCATTTTGTCTACAACAGTGCAAAACGTGATCTCTTTCCACAACGTGAAGAGGACAACTAGTTAACAATTTTATTCTTGTTTTTGACATTTGTCTGCTTCACATTCGCCTCTGAGCAACCGTTGCTATAGGCAACAGGTGCAAAACGACAGTTGTAAAAAAAATCATTTCTACCAGACTTACAGATTAATGGCAGATCGTTATTATCGTGAAATAATTGAGCCAGTCCTTCCTTAAACCAAAATAGATAACAGATCTATGTTGAAAAATAGAAGTTATGACTTTCTTGCTCACTTTAATTAGAAATGTGATGTGAAACATGTTTTCAACGGTACGAGCAAAATTGGTTGGATGTAAAACAAATGGAAAAAATTCAACTGGTTCATCTGAATAAATTTAAAAAGATAAAGTTCTCGTTACAGTTATTCGTGTTTGTTCTGGTATATTGGAAACGGAGGGGGAAAACGAGAAAATCACCATTCTAAACGGTAGTTAACGGAAACCAAGCATGCGCCTGTTATTTATCCTTGAATAAGACCAGTTTGAGATTGATATTTGTTATCTATTTTCTTTTCCGTCGATCAATTTATTCTTTTTCTTTCTAAAAATGGAGCTCGGCATATCTAAACGCCAATAGAAAGGTTAGACGCATGCCTCAATGACGCATAGCCCAGGAGGAGCGCCACGTACTCTTACACAAGTGATAGAATATCAAATACATTTGATGTATAATTTTCTTGAGATATTACATTTAAATTTTTGAACATCTTAAAGTACCATTAACCTTTTATTCGTAGAACTAGCTGCTGAACATCAGGATAGAGGTTTTATTTTGCCAACTTTTTTGAACTGAATAATAATACGCTGAAATGGTAAGCAACGTTTAAAGATAAAAAGAACCTAAAACATCAGTGTTCAGCCACGTATATTTTAAGGAATAGCAGCATTTGTGAAGTCCAATCGAACCAAACTGATATACCATGTCATATACAGAGTAGCTTATCGTTACCTAATCAACACTTCTGTGAGAAATTTTATAAAGAAGTTTAATATTGTTACAAGTGCATGTTTAAGAAACTCTCAAACTTTAAGTTTCAAGTTTTCGGTGTTTTATCCAAATCATCATTTTCAAGAGTGACATAAGAGAAAAATAGTACAGATATCTATAAGTAAAAATAAAGAACAGAAAAGGCAAAGTAACGTAAGTAAATTGTGCAGATTATTAAAAGAAAAAGAAGAATACCATGTGATTGCGCAATCATATGAGAGTTCTAACGAGAATTAAAAATTTCATGAGATTTTCGTACAGATTACAATCGCCGTTTTGTTTTGTCAATACATACATAGTATAAAAGTGTTACTGATTTTGTGAAAAATTTGTGTTTTTTCATTTTGTTATTAACCTACACAAAAGGAGGCTGACTGAGATTAAATGCGACATTCAGTTGAACAAAATATTAGCTGTCCAAACGCTAACAAAAGGCTCAGAAAATTAGCAAAATATTAAAAAGACCAGAATTTTTTACTAGAATCCATTTTGTAGTAATGTAAATGTACGTACTGTGATTTCGTTTGAACGCTTGTAATAAATATTTATTAATTTTGACAACTTCTTTTGATGTTTGTTCACCATGACTAGATAATGTTGAAACCTGAAAGAAGTTATTGTCAATTATAATAAAGAACTGCTATAAGCCAATTGACTACTTTAGGCGTAATATATATATAATATACGAAAAACTATTTGTTCTTGAAAAAGATTCAACGGAAAATTACTATACATTTGATCTCATCCAGATTATGGATGTCGATCACTTTCTCAGCACATGTTTGAGGTGAAAAACTAATTTTACAACTTATTTTAAATAACTTATTCAATACGCAACAAATTGTAGAGTTTATCTCTAGTAAATGTACTGGAGATCAAGTACTTAGCTACTTGCAAATTTTCCAAAGTACTTGGTTAAACACTTCAGTGGCGGAGCCAGAATTATTTCTTTGGTACGTGCAGTCGTCATAGAAACAAATTATTCTAAGAGAGTTCTGCTGGGAAAAAACCGGCTTTTGGGTAAAAGATACCGCTTGTAGACTAGATCCGCCGCTGAAACACTTGTTAAGCATTTTTAGATTTAATATGTACCAAGTACTTGGAAGTACTTCGGATACTCGCATATATTTCGCAAATACTTACCAAGTTATCTGCCAAATACTTAATGAAGTACTTATATTTGTTAAATCACTTAATAAGTACCTTTTTTGTCTGCAAAAAAAACTCCAGATACTCTCGACATTACTTATTCAAGTACATTCACTAGGGATGTGATCTGAGTTGGCCTGTGAGTAATCTGTTTCGTAGTTCGTAAGAAATATTGTAATAATAGTCTCACTCAAATATGATTATTTCCTCCGACGCGGCGACCAAAAATGATCAAAGACATACCGGTAATAGTCGAAAGCTTTCTGATACAATTGTCTCCTAGTTATTTCAGCAATGTGTTAATGCCCTAACAAAGTAGATATTTATAAACGGTTCGAGACATTAGTGCAGTGAGGCACAATTGAGGCCTTAATTGTGAGCGGCACTCGAGATAGAAAAACGTTGAGGTTTGAAATTTTTATTTTATATTACCTTCAAATGGGAAAATTATTTTAAAAAATATACAAGCATTTCTTCCTGACTGAAGAAAAGTCATACTAAGTATACTATACTACCTTCGAAGAAAAAACTGACAGTTTTTGTTACTACTATAGCCTCCAATGAATTTTGTTAATACAAAAAATTGCCTTTGAATGTGTAAAACATTTACATTTAGTATATTTAATACGTTTGAACACATTTAATGAATAGAAAAAAATTTTTACACTTTCGCATATTTTAAACGTTAATGCATTTGGGGAGTACGAAATTTTTTAACTTTCCTAACGCATTTTTACAAATTCAATATCTTTAAATGCCTTATTAACTACCGCATTTAAACTTCTTAAATTTTTTCACATGTTCGAATATATTAAGAAATGTTTCGTCTATTTAATAGAGTCACATGTATTCTGATTAATTTGATGCGTTCACACGCCTTAAGAGGTTAATATATTCGAATGCGTGAAATCGTTTAATGCATTCTAATGCATTAAGGTTATTTTGCTTAAATTTAGTAGATTCACAGGTTTTAAGAGTTGTCTAATGAGTTCACAGGAGTTAAGAATTAATGAATGTGAACGAATTAATGTTTTTTAAAAATAAAAATGATACTAATATTCTATGAAAAAGTGTTCTTATTTTTTTCTGACAATGTCACCGGATTCCTCTCAAAAAGTTAGGTCTAGAGTGATTGCTTCTACTCAATTGGACATAGTGTAGAGAACTTAGAAACTTTTCCAAAAAATTGATGCCCTCTCTTGATATGACCATCTATGAATGCAATCAAATGTATTAGAACTTAATATGTTTCCATGAATTTAAATAATTTTAATGAGTTTAAATATATTAAAATTCTTAACGCATTGAATACCATTGAGTTTATAAGATCTTAAGAATACTCGCCCCACCCACCCCGCCTCTTTTGGAAAAAATTTCGGCTTTTGAGCTTGAGCATAACCTAATGTAGAGGAAAGTGTGGGCTACAAAATGAGACCACTCCCAGCACTCCATGACCTTTCTTCAAAAAGTTATGCATTTCTGCAGTTTTTCCTTCAACGTCTAAAAAAACTCAATCTTTTAGTTTCATAAACTTTTCTCTCATTTTCTATATATTCAAAATTTTTCTTACACATAGTCTGATAACAGAAGTGTTTTCTTCACAACGAGACGTTTTTCAGAATTTTCCGATGAATTTTTTTCGTAGAGATATAAGCATCGCGGCAAATGCCCTGAAAAAAGTGACCTGTGTACAAAATGCGTTTTTTCTCGAAAACTATTTTTTTGATACCGGGCTTCATTGGACCACATTACGACTCCCCTTAAATTTGATCCGATCGAGTTGAAAATTTTACCACAGGTACTCAAGACACTTGTGCAGAGGTAAATTTTTTGAATTTTATTTTAAACCTATCTGTACTGAATTATAGGATTTCTAAAATTGAACAACTTAGTTTTTGAGACATTTTTCAGTGTTTTTCCTATAACTCGGTAAAAAAGGTCTAAAAGAAAATTCCAAAATTATACCTTCGCGGTATGACCTTGACTACCTATGGTAAAATGTTTAACTCGATCGGATGAAATTTAAGAGGGGGTCGTAATGTGGTCCAATGAAAAACCAAGTTTTCCGGAAAACTAGTGAACGGCAATGGTTAAAAGCTTGACACAAAAACAAAAATGTGCTCCATTGAGTTTTCAATCAAATCTGAAAATGTGAAGCCTTAGTGACTTTTAGTTTTTATTTCACAGCATTTCTACGAAAAGCTCATAATGAGGGGTGGAGACTCTTAAAAGTAAAAAATCATCAAAATGCGTTAAAAACGTTTTCCATTAATTTCATTTAATACGCTTAATGCGTTTTAAACTGATTTAATATGAGACTAAAACGCGTTGTTTTCGCTAGACTAACGCATTAAACTATCCATTTTAATTCGTTTTAACGCATTAATAATTTTTTAATAGATGCGAAATTTTTCGTTTACTTTTGGTATATAAAATTTAACCAGAAAATTTTTTTAAAATCAATTAATGCGCGTGAACTTATTACTATTTCTATACTATTAAATGTGTATTAGAAAATGGTTAACACATTAAAAGGAAATTTTTTATATTAAAAAAATTCATTGAGTAGTAACCTATTTTACATGGGAAATATTAAATATTAGTCAGCAAAATCGAAAATTTTCTAGATCTTTATTCTTTAATCATTCTCAAAGTCAGAAGTGAAACAGTTTGTGAAAGTACAACTTTAGTAATGAATTTTATCAAAATCAAGTGTTTGTTGTTCATGACGTGTTGGATGACGAAGTTTTAATCCATTCGAATGTTTCACCTCTCCATTTAGTAACACAATTTACCGATTATTTCAATCGTCTTCGAGACAAACATTAACTGTTTTTTTCAGAAAAAAGAGACGTATAATATGTGGAATGTAGGTCTATCGTATTACATCGTTTCCATCAACAACAGATCATTCAACTTCCTCCACCATCACCTGTTTGAACAGTATACAGTCAACAAAACAAAAGCATGTAATGATATATCCTCTACTTTTTCAGATAAACACAGTTGACATTTCTCTAAAAAGCTAAATAAATAGTAAAATGTCATCATTTCAATTTTTTCGGGCAAGCATCAGAACATTCTGTATCTCGGTATTAGTATATTACGTAGAATATTAGTGTGGTATTGTTGTGTTTTACCAGCATGAGTGTAATCTGCTGAAGAATATTTATTTATTATGCAAATTTTGAAATGACGCTAAACCAATAATGGATGTAGTGTTTTTTCGTTAAACTAGAAATATCTTTTTTTTTAAGTAATCGTAGTTTATCGGATTTCATTATTGATAATACTAAATCATTTGAATCATGAATGTGATGAAATCATTGATGTTAGTGATTCAGTCATACGAGATTCAATTACCTTGTAGAAAACAAAAATATTCTGCGTATTTTACTAATATCTCTTTTTGTAGGATATCGAGTATCCTTTGATTATTATGTATAATCTGTAAACAACTGTCAACTGTATAAAATGAGAAAAAAAATATATTGAAGATAATTGAATGATTCTGTAAAAAACCACTAGAATATAAGAAAGTTATGTTTTAAACCGACTGTTTATTCTTTAGTAAGTATTAAACAAGAAGATTGTTTTAAAACAAAAAGTACATAGTATGCGGTTCCGAAGAGTATTCATCAAGGCGCTCATTCCTGCAGCCATCCTATCCTGTGACAACTTATTCAGGACTGCCCCCCCGAAGCGGTTAGGATTGGGGGGAGAAGACGGTCAACGGTTTTTTGAAGGACGACTGTCATCGATAGCGTACAGAATACAAGAAAAATTTTCAGGATTGGGACGGGCGGGCACCCGTCGAACCTTCCCCGCTCGGATCAGCTTTGAACTTACTTCATCAATTTTTGTTCGTTGAGATTCAAAATCTTCTCTTTTCTCACGTGGCACATGTAATTTGGCTTTTTCTATTTGTTTCTTTTCAAATAAACCAGTTGGAATTCGACCAAACCTGAAAACAAAAGGATGAGACTATGTTCTAAAATTATGAAGCAACGAAAATAAACGTACATAAAATTTGTTGTTGGTGCTATTTGATGATAACATGAAAACATTTGATAAAACTTAACATATGATTCTTCACATATGCTATTTGATGACATTGATTTGAGAACATTGGCCTAAAAACAACAAAAAATCTACTTATTTGCAAATTAAACAAATAAAAGTCGGGTAATCTTGAGCTGTCAATTCGAATGTCATCAAAGTACGGTTATGACTAATAAACAAACTATCCTAGATATTAAATGCTTACAACAATCAGCAGAATTACGATATACTTTTCACACATGTCACAAAACGATTTTTTATCTAATTATAATCTGACAATTAAATCAATCAGGTTAACTCACCTACGTATCTTTTGCATTTTTGACAAGCGCTAAGGCCAAATTTAAAATAGCTATGTCTTTTATCATAATCGTACTTTGATGTGTACTTAAATGTTTTTTAGGCATATAAATGTTCAGCCAGATAATAAACTGTTATCTATATAAAAAAAAGGAAACGAATAACTGCGAATATATTTTGATTAGATCTGATAGAAAAAAAACAAAAATGTCGGAGAGCTACGTTTTTCACCAGAGCGGCAACTTAAAACGTTAAAAGTTTTGATATCTCATACAGCAATTTTTTCGAATAGCAATACAGTTCAGTAAAGATGTCCTTAAGATTTTTTTGCCTTCCTTAACTAGGACTGTATGTTCATTTTTTCCTAAAAATAAACATGCAGTTTCGGTATGCAAGACGTACCATATGTCAATTTATTTTTGAAATTCTCGGATATTGATAAACATCGATTCTGGAGGACTCGAAAGTAGAGTCCTATGGGTTAAACCCGATCCCGATTCCGAAAGCTTTTTTTCAGGTTCGGGACGGGATCGGGTTTATTTCCGATCCCGATTCTTCTAGTTTGATATAGGGGGAGATAAGAGACAATTCTAAATAAATAAAAAAGAATGGAGAATAAAAGAAAACGGACAGGTGTTTCGCACTAGATGTACAACCGACCAAGTGGATTTTATGTTTGTACCTCTACGAGTAGAACTTTACTAATGTTAAAATGAAAGAGAGCACTACATTAGAAAAAAATATATTTCGGGTTTTATTTGAAAAAATTGGGATCGGGATTCTGAAAAAGTTCTGACGGGTTCGGGACGGGTTTCGAATCTATGAAACTGGATGGGAATCGGGTTCGAAAATCTCAAACCCGCAGGACTCTACTCGAAAGAAGCGATATTATGACAAAGTCACAATAAAACGAGAAGTTTGAGTTTTGTAGAAAATATTCAGGACATGTAAGTACAAAAAGTTGTAGAAAAATTTTTTGTACAATGATCTACGTTTGTGAGATCCTACAAATACAGCTTACTCAAGTGAATTTTTTTGTATGTGATGTATAAGTCAGAAAAACGCTTTTCCTACCAGAAATTATTCGAAATATAGTCGCGGCCATTTTCTTTTACAGGTGATAATAGACATACGCATTTTCGTGCAAATCTGAAGGCATCATCCCTTGTTGATATTCTATTAATGGCACATGTTTGATGATAGACAAAATTTGAGATTGTTTTTAATGTTACAGCATCTAATACAGCTTCACGAGGAGTCTTAACTAGTGGAAAACAAAAAAAAAAAATATTCATAAAACTTCAGAAAATTTGACTTAAACGATAACATACCATTAACAAAAATTTGATTACATGAATCTAAACTTTGACTAAGATGATGATCTGTAGGTAATAAATATTCTTGTCGATGACCTACAGTCAAAATAAATTAAAAACTAAAAGTTCAAAATATTAGAAAATATGTACCATGTAAATTTGTCAATAATTCACGATAAGATTTTGTAACACGGAAACGTTTAACATTATCATTTTCATCCTAAAATAAAAGTAAGAAGAGACCATGAATTTAATTTCGTATGTGAATATTTAATCAAAAACACTAACAAAGATGCTTGAGTGATTAGTTTGTGACATTAAACGAGAAGTTTTATGTTTATATCTAAAATGAGAATTATATGTTTTATTCTTGTAGCAGAGAGAAATAAAGAACGTCGTAGATTACTCTGTTAGATTAAATATTAAACCTCTGATGTTTGTTTGATATTGATTAAGACTTTCTAATTGAGATCACTTTTTATCAAAAAAGTAGTCTAAGTTTGGAAGACTTGTTTAAAACTTACCTCGAAATTGTAGAAAATTGTTACTCAAACAAACATAGTTCTTCTAAATATCAGCTTTCTTTTAATGTCAAAATGTTTGGCGTAATAAAAGATATAAAAAATCAAATCAATCACAAACTGATCACACATTTTTAAATAACAACTTTTTAAACTTGCAAAATTTAGTAGCAAACAAAGTTATGCAGACATCTATATTCATGATGTAATAGTTCATTGTAAATCAATAAACAAAAGAAATAAAATGAGTTTTAAGCTTGAAAATATTTGACAACTGAGCTTTATGCGCTTAGTTGCTCGAAAAAATAAAGAAAACACACTCAGTTTTTTGTGACATGTGTGAATATAGCAATTTCACGTTCTAATCGGTAAATATCACGCATGGGAAAATTTCGTCGAAGTTTCACGACGCTGGAGTCGTGCAATCGTAACATTAAATGTGTGATCACGTGTAAACAAGTAGAATATATTTTTCATATGTGTTTCACACACCATTTTATGATGTTTACCTGCGACCACGGTTCCTGTCGCGATATTCACGAGTGTATACACCGTTTTATATACTAAAATTTTCCCCATGGGCAAGCCAAGAAAAGTGAAATTTAGATTATCTAACAACTGAAATAATAATAAGAAAAATAAATTTCCGAAGCGCACATTTATGTAATAAAAAAAAGGAGACTAATGTGACTGGTTATCAAGCTCACTTATTTTATTCATGATGAAAAATATTCTTCAAGTTCCTTTTTTTCTTTAATTCTCAATCAGTTAAAGTCTTCAAACTAAAAACTTTTCTCATTCATAAAAAAAAGGTTTTTTCGTATTTTCTACTAACAGAACAGCAAATATTATGTGTGAATAAAATAGAGTAATACGTCTGAATTGTCTTAGGTATGTTATTTTGATTCAGAGACCTTTTTTTCAGCTAAAAACAATCATGAGAAAAATATGTTGATATAAATAACAATGTCTTACTAACAGATCATGTGAAGTTTTCTAGATTAAATAGATGAAAAATAATATTCTTTTATCCGATCGTACTTTTCGTATGCAATCTGTTTCGGTTTCTTCTTCAAACTTTTGGTTTTAAAAATAGTTTTTGGAAATCATTTCAATCATCAACGTCACCTTTAGCTCCCATCTGATCGATGATGGTTTAAAATTCTCTTCTCCTTTGCACCTGGTTATCGAGATGTATACGTGAGAATTAATCATAAATTGCTATAGACAATATATACAATAATATATTTTTGTTACAATGACAACCGTGTAATGGGAAGAAAGGGAAAACAGTTGACTCTGACATGTTACGTTGTTTTATCTCTAGATACGAAAAATACCGTGGAGATATGATGATTGTTGGTCGACATTATATTTTCTTTTTGTTGCGCCATAACGAGTACAAAACATACAAAAAAAAGTGAAAAGAATAAAAAAGGTATGGACTCAAAGTGTATAAGTGTGATTTATCGTTACATAATAAAAGAGTATAATGCGAGCTCAAGTCAACACTCTTGCCTCATTCATAATGCGATCGCGCTTATCACTGCATGATTGCGATAAATTCGCTAACTCATGACACGATCGCTAAGAAATCCTGATGTCGCTTCGCGATCGTGATATAGTCTAATTAGTGAAAGTAAGAGTTTTGCATGATTGTGTACTAAACTCAGAAACTTTTTTTGTTTTTTCTGGAAGTACCTAGGTCCAAGAATCAGATAACAAGAGCATGTACGGCCTTGGAGGATCATATGATAAGAAATCATTCTTATAAGATTATACTAGATTTTTCTTATGATAGAAGGATCTTGTAACACCTTACAGATTACCTTCCCAGATGAAAGAATCTTGCTGTAAATTCTTATAAGATTCTTGTACGATTTCGTAAGATTCTGTAAGAAACATAGAAACTGATTCCTGATGTAAGATCTTATAGTATTTCATCAGATTTCGTAAGATTCTTGTAAGATTTTATAGGATCATGTAAGATCTTGATCTGATTTTTTGACCTGGGACCGTCTTTTCTCGTGACACGACTATTTCGCGAACCCAGGTCGAATAATCTTATGAAATCTTACGAAAATCTTATGCATCCTATGAAATCGTACGATAAGATCATAGAAACTGTCTCATCTTAAAAACATCATACAAGAATCTTATAAAATCTGATAAAATCTTACCATAAGATCTTACATCAAGAATCAGTTTCTTACAGAATCTTAGAATTCTCGTAAGAATCCTACTAAATCAGACGAAATCGTACAAGAATCTTATAAGATCTTTGACCTGGAAACGACTCTTCCACCAACTGACTCTTCCCGAATTTTTCATAATACAAATTCAGGTATTTCTGGCAGTGTGTGGTAGGTGGTGAGGGCAGTGCGAGAGTGAGTTCGAAAAGTAGTTTCACACAAAAGATATTTTCTTGATCTAGTGCGAATTTGCTGCAGCTTTTGAAGTATTTATCTAATATTTCAGTAGTTCAAGATGAAGTTGTGTTAAAAATTTTTTAATGAGTACGTTCAGTAATACCCGTTGTTTTGTTAGTTTTCTACTGTTTAATTTTCTTAACGTCTGTTTATAAAAATTCGTAGAAGAGTCGGGGATCCTGTTAATTCTTTTATAAGGTTTTGTGAAAAGTTGGTACTTCAGAAAAAAAGTTTCTGAGTTCAGTAAAAAATGTAATTTAGTTTAAACCAATAACTGAAAAGACCGAAATAATATTCACTCACGGAAACAGATAGAATGACTTGTGCGCTCAACAACTCAATTAACTGGAATCAAATATCTGATTAAGCGAAAATGGAAGAATGTGGTATTCACGGTGGGAGTTAAGGCATTAAAGTAGTGACTAATGCGCAGTCGCGACGCGGTTTTTAAAAGAATTATAGCAGCATATCATCATCACCGTGTCATTCTTTAATGTGTCTTAGAAGTAATTTCAGTTTGGCTGTTTTTCGCCGTTTAGACAAATATTCAAGTTTTACCCAAACGTTCTGTGTTTTGTGTCAATCATTTTGTACGTTTTAAAGCTATTTTTCAATATACTTTGTCCATTATAAAGCGTATGTAATATGCAGATCTAGTAATTGTATTTCTCCAACTCTGTGGATTTGATTTGCTCAAGGTTTTAATTAAGAATAGGCATCCAGCAACGGAGAAATTTCATCTCTTTTTTTTGCTTCTCTTTTTCTTTCTCGTTCTGTTATCCGTCAGTGTTTGCACACGCATATCTTGTGCGAGAAGAGATATCTCCTTTTTTGCTAGATGTCTTATGACAAAATTATCGATCGAATTATCGAATACTACCTAGTTCAATTTACTCATATATAATTGAATCAGCAGCTCGTCACATCAACAACGGATTTTAACCAATGGCCTTCTCATTTTGTTCACATTTCATCTGAATCCAGTGCATAAAGAACAAATCGTTGAAAAGTATGGACATCAAAGTTGACACATCTCGGATATCGGTCACATCCTTAAAAACGATTAGAAAGAGTGAAGAATCTAAGATAGACCATTGCGGAACTTGATGATGGTGTCAGAAAGAATGTTATCATATTCCATCTGGTGTGTTGAAGTTGAAAAAACTGAATTTCATTATCAATATCAGATGGTGCAAATCGAGAAAATCAAGAAACAAAAGGAATATTATTCGCTTTCAATAAATGATAATAAAAAATTTGGCGTCGATTTTTTATTTTAACATTTTGCTGTTTTTTTATTTTTTTAACTAAAGCACGTGCAGTGATGTGGAACGTCTAGAATTGTAAAGCAAACGTGAGGCGTCTCGAGGCTCTGTACGTTTCTTTGTTTAAAGAATAAAAGGAAAATACAAAACGTCCTTCATTTTTGAATGATAGCATTTAGTATTTACCGTTTATTGTTTGAACAAAGCAACGTATAGAGCTCCGAGACGCCTCATTTTGTAGAAAAACATTTGCTTTACAATTGTAGGCGTTTTACAGCGCTGCGCATGCTTTCATTAAAAAAGTATAAACACAGCAAAATGTCAAAATTTCGTCACGGAATTTCACTCCCGTAGCAGAGTTATCTGGCCGTACCGCTCAGTCAAAAATCTTAGCAAATTGAATAAAATATCACTCAGTTTCGAATTCTAATCCATTCGATAAATAATTATATTTCATGAGTAATATACGTGAGTGCGTCGACAGTCCATGACTTCAGACGAGGTCGTCTTGCTATTATGCGAAAAGGAGGCTCAATCAGGGAAAGTTTTGTTTTCAAAACAGGATATGCGAACAAAAAATGAAAAGCGATTGATTGTCGTGACGAAAATTACGGTAAAGTCAATGCTTTGTCCTCTTCCGATTTGATTGGCAACTCTGCTTCAAAATGAGTTCGTCAGACGTGAGAATTGGACGCGTTATTGGTAAAAAATCATTTTTATTGAAATGAAAGATTAAACGGTCGTACAAAATTCTGACATTACCTTGCTGAAAACGTACTACATTTACATCGACTTTATCCCAACAGTTTGAAAGTAATAGGACTGGAACAACTCGAGCTCCTAATGACGAATATCACGTTTAAAACATTTTAAAACAACGGCATCGTGGCCTTCTAGATCTGTGGAGATCCCATTTCTCAGCAGAACAGACGTTCTGTGGGCATTCTCATCATTTTTTAGCGAAATACTTTCATGAGCTGGTACCTGCAGATTAGAATCTATATGTGCAGCGCTGCAAAATTCCCTAACGAACAAAAAGTTCCAAAATGCTAACCACGTTCTCAGAAGAATTTTTTAAAAAGTCGTTTTTTCCAAAAAGTAGGTCTATTTAAAATTTTTTTATAAAGTCGATGTAAAGTCTGATATACTTTCAAAAGTATCACCGCGCTGACATTGGATAGAAAGGAGATAGAGTGGTAGTTCTTGCTGAATATTGGTCAAGAATGAGTCGTACAGTGGGATTTTTCTCTGAGAGAAGAAATTTCATTTTAATAGACTATTTTTTTCAAACATGTGTTATTTACTTTACATACTTAACTGTCACCTGACCAGTTCCAGTACACTTTTTCTTTTTTTAATTTCAAAATCTTTGAAAAATCTCTGGTGCAGTTGTGAATGATTTTCTGTAGCTTATAAACAATTGATAAAGTGACTGTAAAATGCTTTTGCCTTATCCTTATCGCTAGTAATAGTAAGTACTACTTATATGTGTCATAGATGAGTGACTTTTTGAAAGTCGTGGAGTGCAGAATTTACGATTCGTAAATTTTGCACTTCACGACCATGCTTTCTTGTTGTTATATTGTTTTTTCTTTAACATTTTCAAATGATTATGTATCCATAACTATTGATTGATATATTATTCGAAAGCGGCAACTGTGTACTTTAGACTGAAGTATCTAACGGCTTGTATGTATGTCAAATGTAAAATTTTCGATAAAGTCTATGTAAACATATTGTATATTTAATAAAATGTAAACTGATAAAAAATTGTAACGTTTTCTTAATTTTCTTTTCATAGTCGGACAGAGCTGCTGGTTCTCTTTGTATCTGATTTTCCTATACCTCAGTATATACGGTTTTCTGCCTATTCGAAGAAAACTTCATTCTATTTCCTAGAACTGCATCACATCTGACTATAGATGTAATCGATCAAGATTTTTGTCGACTGAGTCGGCCAAGTGCGACCGGTCGTCGGTCTACCGATCGATTGACATCTTTTTCCTTGATCCAACCGGACCGAGACCGTCGTAGACCGGTTTAAACCGGCTGGTCGCCAGTTACATCTCTGCATCTGACCTTACTTCTCTAGCCAGTATTTTAGAAGAGTTTATGAGAAGTAACAATGGGGCAAGAGGGAGGCTTATATATATGAAAATTATGTTCAGTGTTCAAGTCTTCCTTGTCATAACCAAACCTTCAGTATCATAAAGCGCCTGTACGAATTTGTGTCAGTAGTGTGGAACCCGTGTTACTCAAACGAAAGAAGGGAGAAAGTCTTACGACTGCCGTTATCGGTGAGAGTACTGATAAGTGTCAATTTCATTAGCCCGATACATTTCCTACAGTTGGAAAGTTTCTAACATGGTCAGTCGCCTACGTCATTAATAGCCATTAACTGCAACCTTGACTATTAGAAGAATTATGGAATTATGAGTAATAAGCGTTGTAAATTATATCTAAATCTAAAAGACTATTCTCTCGTTTGACATAAAACATTGCAATCTCTTTGTTTTCGTCGTTTATTTTCTTTACTGTCGTCAGAATAAAAAAAGTATTTACACCAATCTAACAGAAAAAATAGCAGATAACAGAAATATCAATAATTTTATAATACGTTAATTATATTTCTACACAAACACAAAGTGATGGTGGACAATCAACTTTACACAATTCTTTACACCATTTTTCAATACCCACTAGAGGTTTTAACGCTTCACTGGTTGCATAACATGTAATTTGTCCTTCTTCTTTACTGTCTGTTAATAACTCCGATGGACTAAACGGAATGATGACAGTCAACGATGTTGTTGTTTTAATCGTTGTAGTTGTAGGAAATATAAATGGAAATGATGTAGTGGTAGTCGTTGTAGGAAATATAAATGGAAATGATGTAGTGGTAGTCGTTGTAGGATTTGTGACGGTAATATAGGGTGGCTGAGTTGTGGTTCTCATGGTGGTAGTTGTTGATGTAGTTTTTGTTGTGGTTGTTGTAGACCAAGGTAGAAGGCCGTTATCATTGTATATTATTGTTATATCGGCGCAGTTATAAAACTCTTCCTGATAACCACATCCTAAACATTGTTTACCACTCTCCAAATCTGTACCCCAATTATTACCGGCATGATAACGCCATTGCAGAACACAATGAGAACACCATACATCAGTTGGTAAATGAGCTCTAAAACAGAGCGCAAATTTGTATTGTTATTCATTTGATACATCATCTTATTTACTAAGTTCTTAATATACACTATCACATTACATACTTAAGATAAATTGAATCCATTCCTTCTAGAACAGGAAATTGTTGTCCATAACCTTCAATTTCGAGTACGTGTTGATCTAAACATTCTTGTGTGACTTCCACATACTCATTAGATGCTGGACACAAACGAAATTCCATGTAACCTTTGTGATTAGCTGATAACTAAACATACAAATAAATAAATATTTCAGTTTTTCTAGTGTTAAAAAAATTACAGAAACGATTTATTTTTGATTTTTCTCATCAGCTGTAGATTGCTCGATTCAATCTCGAACAAATTCAAGAAAACATTTGTGTATCTGAAAAGAGTTTCCAATGAGGGACAGTGTGTAGAAAATTCTATCGAAATTGTTGAAAAGTTGAAGTCTAAAAAGTCAAACTCTCAAAGTTAAAAAAATCGAAATATTTTTGCAAACATGTCAGTCGTATAGAGCAAACATTTCAGAACAAAATAAGAAGTCTCCAAGCTGTCCTTAGGGATACTTCCTTTCTTTTTTGACAAAACTTTTTATTTTGAGTTAAACACACGCTAATATAGAGGACAGTCAAAATGATCTTTTTAATGTTACTTTTAACGCTCAAAACACCGGTAGTTTCAATTCAGCCACGGTACAACTTCTCGAAAAATGCTCCGATCGAGTCCACACTTGTACCACAGATACTTCGAACTCTATCTCAAGCAGAAGCGGCAAAACCACGTGGGTCGTGGAAACGACGCCCTTGCAGACTCTGAAAGTTTTTCCTTTTCACAAAGCGGAAAAATATTCTTTTCTTGCGTTCTGTGGACTTCGCCACAAATACTCGCTCCCACCGTTTCAAAGTCGTCTCGACTCCTCTATGTTCAGGTTTTGAATTGTTTTAAAGCGTTTTCAACTTGAACTTTCATTGTGGGAATGTTTTTAAATTAAAAAGTGACTTTTTACAAAGGATCTTCAGCATATTTCAAACATTTCGAGAGAGAAAAAGTATATTTTTCGAGAAAAAGATTTTGATTCCGAAATAGGGTCTTAAGTATCTGACTCTATCGGGTCTATGCTTCCACATTGGCTAACATGATGAAAAAAGAGAGAGGATATATCATCAACAGTTTGTCATACGATGTACTCAAATCGTGAAACTATTCATTTATTCTGTAGTGCTGAGCGGGGCCAGTTTCCACTAAAATTTAAGCGAACAACGTCTTGAGTAGCAGTATAATATAGCGTGAGACCGCAACAACATTGCTAGTTATTTTCTTGTTAGTTTTGTTGTTCTTAAGGGTCTAGAGTCCTTCAAGAAGTGGAAATAATTTATGAAAACCTGTTGTGAAAAACTTGGACACGTCTTATTTTCAATATGTATGAGGGCAACGACTTTATAATCATAAGAATTACGTCTTATTTTATTCAGAAATGTTGACTCGAAACGATGGCACATGAGAGGTGTTTATTAAACGGTTTCCAAACATCTGTAAATAATCAATTAATATTAAACAAAAAGATAAAAACATGTTCGATTTTGATTCTAAATATCATTTCAACGGCTAAAAAACGCGTTTCTAGCATTCTACTGAACATGTTTCTACTGTTTGGTTGTTTACACACGTTTGAAAACCGTTTTGAACGAAAAACAAATATCTCGATTAAAACATTTGCCAAAATATTTCAAACAAAATTAGGATATTTAACTGTGAGAGTATGACGTTTTAGACTTTAACTTTCCAACAATTTCAATAGAATTTTTCTACACACTGTCCCTCATTGGAAACTCTTTTCAGCTACACAAATGTTTTCTTGAATTTGTTTGAGTACAATCTATAGCTGATGAGAAAAATCAAAAATAAATTGTTTCTATAATTTTTTTTCAACATTTGAATTTGTTAATTTTGAATAGATTTTTCTTTAAAATTTCTTTCTATAATCCTTTTAAAAGTAATTATTACGAACCAAAACTTTGATATCGATTATTGATCCTGTTGCATACGTTCTTACAATTGTTCCCGTTGCATACTTTCCACCAACTTCATGATAACGGGTACCCGTATACGAATCACCACATGTTCCACATTTACCATCTGAAAAGACAATCTCAAAACTGGTAGACAAGATAGAATATAGAAAAAATGTCAATTATTTTACTATTTGTTTTTTGTACACCGAGTCCACCGCAATTTAATCCAACATCATCATAATCCGCTGGTACCTTAAAACCTTGAATGAAAAGGAAAAAAGATACTTAACAACGATAAATAGAGACGGATCGATTAGGCAATACCATAACGCCATGCCGAATTTCGAGCTGGTGGCTCATCTAATCGTCCATGCCCATTTACACTATTGATTATATATGTAAATAATAATATCAACAATGAACTATAACAAATGGTATTTTTGTATTAAACTGTAACTAATAAGACTAATGTAAATAAAACAATTCAGACAAAAAAAAGTTTACTTTATGCTCAATAATGATTACTTCCTATGTTTAGTAATTGGGTTACAATTGAAAAATTTGAGAATTTGTACAATATAGATCTACAAGTTTCTTCTAAATACCAGATATCAATTATCAAATTTTTAGTTGTAAATTATTTTAGCATTAAGAGTTTTATTATTTTGAATAAAATCATTACAAGTAGTAATAGTTCGACAAGTCAAGGCACATGTTCTCATACAAGAAATTCTAAAGTTAAAATCCGTCTATTGAATTTTTTTGCTTACCACAATATTTTTGTCGACGACATATTGTAAAGCCGAATTAAGAGAAAAACATCTTTTAAATGTATATACAGTATCATATCATTTTTCTCTTTGTTATTTTTTTTTTTATAATGAAAGGATAGATTATAAATATAATTTTAATAATCCTTTTTTCTTAATAGTTTATAATTAAAATAGTATATTCAAGGACAGAGAGTATCGAATTTCATCTTCTCTTGTCCATGACTAAAAGAAACATTTTTTTTTTACTGTTTTCTATTCTTTATATTGATTGAAGGACCAAAAACATATGGAAAAAAAAAAAAAATTAATTTTTTCTATGTCATCATTAATATCAGTGAAAAAAATGAATGACGTTTGTAGTTGATCTGAAGTGTGATGATGAAGTATGATGAACCTGTTTAACAATATCTGTTTATCTAGTTGACTTGATTTGGTTGTTTTTTTCCTTTTTCGTATATATATATATATAAACCATGAAACAGGAAGTATTATGTCTGAACAACAATATAAATGAACAGTATTTTTTTTGTTGTCTCATGTCAACAAAAAAAACAAGAAAAAACGATTAGTACTGATCCTTTACTATTGTAAATTATGCATATGAGTGATTATAGTTGAACAAAGTGGAATTATCAGTGAATATATGAATAGAAATCTATTGAGACAAAAAAGAACGGATAAAAAAGTTCTTTATAAATACATGATCATGTCTTTCTCAAATTAAACAATGCGAATGTTGTACTTACACTCATATGGTTCGCTTCTAGCTAAGCACATAAAAAAAAAGGAAAACTTGTATCTATAGATCTATTAAATAACGCTAAAATGAGAAATGATTACGGGAATAACATAATTTTAATTCCGGTTGACAAAATTTCGAAAAAAACATGGAAAAGATCTTGATTACGAAAACGATATCTTTTTATGCCATAAGCATGTGATATATCTTGATTCATCTGTATGACTAGAAAACATGGTTTAGATCTCGGAAATTGTACATAGCGTACAATGATGTAGAGATCTAGTTGGTTGAAGTATATCTAGAGTTTGAAAAGAATATCAACATATTTACTAACTAGAAATCTACATATTATATAATACCGCCATCACCCTAATGATCGATTCTTACATAAGAATCGGACAGGAATCTGGTAAGAAACTTATCAGAATCCGTTACGACTCGTATAAGAATCTTATTAAATTCTTATGGAATTCGTACATAAGAAGTCACATAAGAAAGTGACAAGAATTTGATAAAAAGCAGATAAGGATCAATTCAAAATCCTGTAAGAATTCGACCAGAAAAAGGCAAGAACTGACAAAAACTACCAATGTTTTTTTCCTTCTTTAGTTAGTTGTATTAGTGAGTGTGTAAGAGGTTGTGAGGCATTTTCAAAACGACCGGTCTTACCTACCTCGACGAAACTTTGAAAAAATTTCCAAGAAATCAGTTGTGCTTATATAGTATGTGCTTCTGTAAAATAAAACGATGATTGGCTTTTAGTAAGAATTTCATAAGGAAGTGATAAGAAAGTGATAGGAGCGTCTTATCAAAGTCATAGCTGATTCTTATTTGAATCTTACCTGATTCTTATCGGATTCGTACGAAATTCTTGTCATTTTCGTGCGGACTTCTTATGTAAGAACCCGATAAGACTGGGATAAGATTCTTACCAGAAATAACACAAAATGTTTGTCTAGGGCAAGGAAACATCTCACATTATTTGACAATCTATGTTCTTCTTTATAGTAGCATACACATTTTTCCAACTGGTACTAATAATAATATCTCATCACACAAGTTCGAGTGTTTCTCTCTTTATTTTCGTTTCCTTTTTGGTTAAATACATGAAGCTAGACATTTACTGGAAAACTAATATAAATTAGATGGAGAATAAAGACAGTTTATGTCCTCAAATATTGCGAAATCTAAAGCATGTTTAGCTTAGCATAAGTTTAATTAGATTTTTTCCCGTGATCTAATCAATGATGTTGCCACAAAAAACTTAGTTTTTGTAACCGAGATCTTTTACCTGATTTTTCTTAAAAAATTTTCAACCACGATTGAAAGAATGGTATTTCTGTGATCTTTTAAATTCACTAAAATTACCTGTTTCTACTTCAATTGATAGATCATGATTCTGTCGCAGTTCATAATTTAATGTTAGTCGAAGAACAGCACTATTTTTCTGCATGTCTATCAGTGGTGTGATAAAATCAAGATTTTATGTAACTTGATTTCTAGAAAATTACTATTAATAATCAGTTATCAATGGACACATGAGATGTCACCAAATTACATATTAGAATTTCGTCTAGACCCTGCCCTGCCGGGCAGGACGATATATTTTTGTTGCCCTGCCCTGTTGCAGGGCAGGGCATTATATGTGAAAATAAAAATGACAGCCAACTTTTCTAAAATTGATAATTAGTAAGAAAAAGATTCTGTTACGCACGAGAAACACATCCAATATTTGTGATGAGTTTCTTGAAGATAAAGTCTCCTAGGTTAAGGACAAAAACGTT